GAACTAGGTCTCACTGTGACAGGTCTGATTGGAGTCATGAGGACAGAGGTAGACACATTGTCTGGGGTCCCACACCGCCCAGAAGCAGGACCATCACCTGGAGCTGATGAAAATGGGCCAGGCAGATAGAAGACTAGGGAATTAGGGGGTGCTATTATGGTCTCTCCTCCCCCACTCTGGGCATCACCCCAACTGACCAACTTACCTGCAAGTCAGCTGGCTATGGCTCAGATACCCAAGCTGCACCTCATCTATGCCCGAGAGGAGCTGACAGCAGGCTGGCACTGCTCCCCACCCCCACCCCTGCCCTGAGGCCAGCGGGGCTGACATGTGCACACTGAGCATCTCATCCGCTCAGGCCCCAGCCAGAAACACTGGCACGCACCTCTGGCTTTCCTCTCCTTCTCTCTACCCTCTCTCTTCTTCCTTCTGTTCTCTAAACCAGAAAAGAGCAAGTTCGAGGGCAGCTTGAGATGTTACAAGTAAGTATCAGACAGAAGGCGGTGTGAAGAATAAGCCACAGCCACCGTGTGCAATGCACTATGTCCCGAAGTGCAATTGCTAAGCCTGCCATGGCCTAGAGTCTTCTCAGGGTCTGCCCACGTGCAGTGCAGGCTCTACCTAACACCAGGAGAAAATATTTCAGGTCATGGGTTCTCGGAGGAACAACAGCTAAGGTTCCCCCACCCCCACCCCATCCCACCCTCCACCCAACTCGGATGGAGAAAGAGGAAGGTGAGCAAGCAGTGGGTCTGCTATAGCCACTTCCCTGACACCTACATGTCCTGGGTGGGTGTGAGCGATCACAACTCAGACAGGCCCCAAGTCTTTTGCACAACTCAACAGAGGGAGAGGTGGACCCATTCAGATCCCTTCTGAGAGCTTCTCCCTTGAGATCAGGGACCAATGAGGCCACAGTTCTTTCCAAATCACAGCCCCTCTCACATACAAGGCCCTGCCCTGGCCCTCATCTGTGCCCCCAGCCCAGGCCCCTAGCAGAGTCCTCTCCAGACATTTTACGGAGAAAGGGGCCTTGGAAGGAGGGATAAACTGATTTCAGCAACTGCTAACAACTTTTCATTAAGCAATAAATAATCCATATAAACCTGGTCATAAGTCAAATCCCCCATGGCCACTACAGAGTTATGAATCTAGCCTCTTGCCTTTTTAACTCATTAATGAGATGAAAACACCAGAACCGTGTCATCATTTCTGCCAGACCTACAAGGAAAAGGACTTTTCCCCCATTTATACTGTCCCTAGGATCATTCTAAGCACCAAAGCCATTTCACACCACAATTATTTTTAAGTTTTACAGACTTGGTTAATTACAGAATCATAGGTTTTTGATCTGAAACTTATTTTTTATAAATCCTCACTGGAGAATGTATTTATTGATTTTAGAGAGCAAGGAAAGGGGGGGGTGGGGAGAGAGAGAGACAGAGACAGACAAACATCTATTGCCTCCTGGACATGCCCCAATCAGGGATCAAACCCACAACCTTGCAGGGATGTCCAAACTTTTGGCGTCTCTGGGCCACACTGGAAGAAGAGCTATCTTGGGCCACACATTAAATGCACTGTGACATGTAATCACAAAAAAACACACCTCATAATGTTTTGAGTAAGTTCATGATCTTGTGTTGGGCCACATTTATAGCCTCCTGGGCTGCATGTGGGCGACGGGCCGCAGGGTGGACCCCCTGGTATGGGATGATGCTCCAGCCAAATGGGCAACCGGGATAGGGCTCACAGCACAATTTTTTAACAAGCAGAAGGAAACTGTTGTGGCATATGCCCAGGGGGCTGAAAAGATCAGCCAGCAAAATAATAACTGTGTTCCGGAACACACTGCTGGAAAGAGCGGCGCCAGGGCCGCAGGCCGCCCTGGGGCACATGCCTGCGGGAATGCGCTCCAGGAAGAAAGTGGTGCTGGGCCCCCTCTCTCTTCTTAAGGAAAAATTCTGAACCCAGCTTTTGTGCAATAACTACAGAACACTCAGGAGCTTTCTGTGGCTTTTCTGTGGGAACTATCACTGCCTTCTCAGAAGTCCACTCCGTGGACGACCATGACCTTTTACTGCACTGGATGAGAACAGCCGTGCCAGCCCGGTAGGCAGAGTCCTGTCAGCCTGGGACCAGCCCACGGCTCTCTCCAGACCAAGCAAGGCTCTAGACTAGTGCTGGCTCTTGCAGATGACACACCCCTCTGTGTTACTGAAAATCCTCCTTCCATCAGAAAAAGTCACACACACACGTGTCACACATTCACACAGGTGGTTCAAAGAAAAAGAGCTATGAAAGCTGATGCACGCATAGAAAAGGGACCTATTGGCATGACCGGCACCACTGGGCGGGCAATACCAGAACACAAGTGACCTACAGTGCGTCCACTGCAGCCCTCTAGAATCTACCAGGATTCACCTACTAAACCCAAAAGTTTTAAAAAGGAATCCATTTTTAAAGACTAAAGAGGGAACCCTTTAAAGATATGATCAGTTTCATTACATTGCGGGCTCAAACATGATTATTGTATATCTAACAACGATGAAAATCAGGCAATTAAAATTCTCCTAACGACAAAACAACCGAACAAAATCACCTTGCCTTTCCAGAGGCTTTTCCTTAGCCAGTCCAATGCATCATCCCATAAAACTCTCATCCTGAAGTCCACCAGAAGCCAGAGGCTTTCCTATTCTGAGGCACATCAACTACTGCCGTATCTACTCCTGATCTGGACCAAGGTTGTTAAAGCTGAGATCCACGCCACTGAGACACCAGCCCCCTGCTCCCTCAAAAGGCAAATATTGCCCCTTCACCTGGCATGGCTGCCTATCAGGGTCTCGGGACAGCGTGTGACCTCAGCAGGCAAACAGCTGTGCAGAGTTCTGCCTTCTGGATACACCATTTCTGGACCATGTCTTGGAGTTCTGAAACACCTGCCCCCAATCCTGATTGATGCGGTTCAGTTGCTGGAGCAACACACGTAAAGTAAAGGGTCGCCAGTTGACTCCTGGTCAGGGCTCACGCCTAGGCTGCACGTTTGGTCCCAGTAGGGGGCATGCAATGGACGTTTCTCCCTGTCTTTCTCCCCTGCTTCTCTTCTCTCCAAAGAATAAATAAATACACATATTATTTAAAAAATAAAAAATAGTCTTGGCTGGTGTGGCTCAGTGGATTGAGCCCCAGCCTGCAAACCAAAAGGTCACTGGTTCCATTCCCAGTCAGGGCACATGCCTGGGTTGCAGACCAGGTCCCCAGTTGGGGATGTGCAAGAGGCAACTGACATATGTATATCACACATGGACATTTCTTTCCCTTTGTTTCTCGCTCCCTTCCCCTCTCTCTAAAAGAAAATATATAAAATCCTAAAAGAAATAAAATAATTAATTAAAAAACCGGCCCCCATAGCACAGCGAGACAGACACAGGAAACTCAGTGCACGTGCCCCACAAACCCAGCAGAACCAGCAGGTGGGCCAGGCAGAAGCCACTTCCCGTAACTCCACGGCTAGGACTCAAAACCGTGATGTACTCTGCTATTTCTGTACTTAAATGCATGGCCGAGATTTGGGCAAATCTTCAAATTAGGTGGCAGGTCTGAAAGCAGGACACTTCCATCTTGCAAGCCTCCTTCGAGGTTGGCCAAGAGGTAGGGGGAAAAACTGCCCATAGCTGAAAAGAAATGAAAATCACATGGCATTTGCTACAGATAACTTGTTTTCTGAGACCCGATAAGAAAACTGTTCTGCAGAGCAGCCATTTCCCCCAGCCTGGTTCCCTCTCAGGTGAAACACGTACTAGGCCCATGCCCATCGACACACTAACACTGTAGTGTGGAGGGGACACTGGTCCAGGGAAGGGGAGCTCGGCCTGACCACCACTGGACTGCCATGCTAGGTCCAAGCCAAAACAGAGATTACGTCCTATGATCGCCTCAGAGACCTTTCCCAATGCCTCAGATTTGTTTGTTCCTGGAACAGGCCTCTGCCCTGTTCTGGGCAAGTATGTAACATATTTCCCTCTTATCTGAGGCGGGTCACACCCAAGTTCCCCAATCACCCTACCCTGTCCTATACAATTCCTTAGTACTGGCCAGGTGGCACCGATGATAGCCATGTTGTCTTGCCAATGCCCAAGATGTACCTCCTATGGGAAGTTCCCTTCATAAACTCTCACTGTAATGCTATCATCAGCCTTTCTTCGGTCTCTGATCCCCGGGAAATTTTACGTAACATGCATCCACCAACACACCAGGACCATGCCCACGAACCAGTGGGACTAAGACCATCAACACACTGGGACCATGCCCACGGCATACTAATACCTTGTCCACCAACATGCTAGGACCGTGTCTACCAATACACTAGCACAGTGCCCAACACTGGGACTATGGCTAATGGCTGTCAGCACAGCGTGGGGCCCCCAGTCCTACCCAATACAAACATTTAATCTATGGTGAGGTACCTTTCTTTTACTACTCAAAGCAATCTTCGGGGGATTGGACACTGCTCCCCACACACAATTGTATTACTGTGTCTTTTGGTTTGTTTGTTTGCTTTTTTTGTTGTTGTTGTGAGTCAGCCTCTACTGATTCCTGATAAGCTAGCTGGTTTGAAGAGGAAAATGAATGGGAAAAAAATTAACTACAATTTATCTCCAGAAGCAGCACCTGGGGAGCTCAGACAAGAAATTCGGATAGGGTTACCCTGGGGAAGGGGACCGCCCACAAGACGCGTGGGACAGGAACTCTGCTGTACTGCGGATTTTCCAAAATGACGTTTAAAATGAATGGATGAATGAAACGCACGTGGGTTCTGAGGCAAGTAACCTTAGCCTAGAGCCGCGGGGATGGTCTAGGGATGCAAAATGGCATTGGGGTGCGGGGATGGACAGAATACGAAGACAGCAGGGGGTTCAGGAGATGCCCCAGGGGTGCGGGATGGCCCGGGGACGCCCCCCACCCCCGCCACCTAGGCCAGGTTCCGTGCCGATACTCACGCACGCAGAGGCAGGCCACGAGCTTAGCGGCCTCCTCCGGCACCGGGCAGGCAGGGAAGAGCGGCTTGAGCAGGTAGGTGGCGAAGACGAGCGCCACGATGTACTGCGAGGAGGGTCGGATGATAAGCAGCTCTATCCAGAGCTTGAGGAAGGCGGGCAGCGAGCCGTAGACCTCCAGCATGTAGGCATAGTCACCGCCGGATTTGGAGATGGTGGTGCCCAGTTCGGCGTAGCAGAGAGCGCCCACAATGGAGAAGACACCACACACGGCCCACACCACCAGCGACAGCCCGGGTGAGCCGGCCTCCTTGAGAACACCGGTAGGTGTGACGAAGATGCCGGAGCCGATGATGGTGCCTACGATGATGGCCACTCCGTTCACTAGCGTAATGTTCCTCTGTAGAGTCACACCCTCGCTTTCCAAGCCCTCCGCGCGCCGCGCCTCCAGCATCTGTTCTCGTGCTTGCAGTTCCTCCTCTGCCGCCGCAGGGGCCGCCGACGAGCGTCGCTTAGGGCCCACGCCCACCATAGTGCCGGGACGTACCGCACTCGCTCGACCAAGATGTCAATGAAAAATCCAGCTGCTCCGTGCTTTTTATAATTCTCTGACCCCGCCTCGGCCCCAGCCCCGCCCCGCCCCGCCCCGCCTCGGCTGCGCCCCCTGGTGCCTACATAGAGTCAGAGTCAGCTCGCTCTCTGATTACCCCACTTCACAGGTTCCCCAAGGTGCAATTCAGTGACTATGCCCCACAGATCCTTAAGATAGATATGGGCTACCCGTGGTTCAGCCCTAGTATACCTGTGGTTCCCTATGCGACCCCGGCCCCCCCGCCCCCCCGCCCCCTTTGGTCCCAGACTGGCAGCAGGCGGTGCAGCAGGGCCTACTCGCGGCCACAGCGGAGGAATGGTGGGATCTGAGGTGACTCTGGGGCTCAGAGAAGGCCTGCCTATCCCCTGAAGGGCGCCCCGGCTCAGTGGGGAGCGGGCCTTCTTTCTATGGATTGGCTTAATAGGGTCTCCCACTGTCCTGGGAAGAAGAAGAGGATCAAAACGACCCCTTCTAGGGGAAGCTCGTGGTTCAGCTGGGGCCTGGGGTATGGAATCAGATTTCAGTAGTGAACCAGATTTCTGAAGGTATATGCTGGTCTCATTTCTGAGCACAGAAGTTCCCATTTATCCCAAAGGGAATCTCCCTGCCCCTGGGAGAAATGGGAAAGAACAACATTCAGAGCAGCTTTCGGGGGCACACACTTTGAAAAGCGGTGACAGGCTTTTGGGAAACCAGATATAAACTCAGCATAAACTCAGTTCAATTGACAGAGGAGAACCTTGAATACTCCGCCCAAAAATCTAGCTTGGAAATTCAAGGAATTTTAAAGGCAGGCTGCAGGTAAAGGGGCTTTGACCTGTTCTTGAAGAATGTGAGAGGTGCCTTAGGTAAGAAGGGCAGCCTGGTAGTCAGAGAGGAATGCCCAGTCACTGCCCGCCTGGAAGATGTTGAGGTAATACAACAATCCCTGCACTCTTCTCACTGTCCTTTCAGAGGGTGTGTGCTGCGGGGCAGGAGGCTGGCCTGCAAAGGCCAAGCAGACTTACAGAGCCCTGACTGGGTACCAAGCACTGTGCTGAGCCCTCGGAAACTATTAAATAATAGGGTAGGTGCTATTATTAGAGCCGTTTGTAGAGGAGGAAACTGAGGCTTAGTGCAGTGATATAACTGACCAGTAAGTGAGCTGGAACCCCAGCCTTCTAACGACCCCCGACACCTATGTGTACTTTTACAAGGTGGCAGTCATTCTGCCACCCTTTCCTGTAGTGGCATCATTTGGCAAAGCTCTAAGGCCAGGTCCCAAGCACCTCTGTCTGGGTTCACACAGCCAACACCTGCAGGGTGTATCCCCTGTGCCCGCCACCGCACCAGGACCCAGACACACAGCAGTGAATGCCACCTCCAGTAAGAGAGAGAGGCAATCAACAATCACACACAGAAATGTAAAATTACAGCCGTGATGGCTAAGGGGGCTTCAAGGGCCCAGAGAGCCCATTTGAAGGAACCTGCTTTCCTCGAGTGACAATTAACTGCAGGAGATCTTAACAACCTGAAGGGTGACAACATCCCCGGACAATTTTCAAGATCTCACAGAATCCCAAGATCTCACTGCTTCACCACTGCTGTCGTCTGGTTGTCATATAATGGAAAGAGTGCCATCTACTGGTGATCAGTAAGGAGCTTTTTGTTCAGATACAGATTCTTAGCCCTGACAAGTAATTTATTGGAAGTTGTGTCATTTATTCTCATCGAGGCTGGAGAGGAGAATATCTGGAATACTTCTGTAGGGGAAAATTTGGGAGTTTCTGTTGAATGCTTTAAAACCATGTGTCCTGTCTAGCCAATAATTTCACTTTTAGGAATTTCTCTAAGGAAATAAGTGTGCTGTGTTTTGGCTATGTACATGATTGCTTATTACAGCTTTAAAATGTAATAGCCAACATTGGAAATAAACCAAACATCCAACAGCTTTGCTTTGGTAAATGTTGCTATATCCACATGATAGAATGCAGTACAATCATTAAAAATCAAGATGTAAAATAATCTTTGCTGAAAAAATATGTCCATGATATATCATGAGTGAAACAATAGGGTATAACACTCCGGGGCTCCATTTGGTGGACTCTTGGGGTCCCTTGGCTGAACTAGGACCTACCTCCTGTCCATTTTTTGAGATCTGGGAAAGCTGCCATTGAACTGAAGTGGTGAAGGCAAAGTCTGCTCAACCACACCAGCCAGGAGCATTCAGGCTGGGATGCTGCTGGCCTCAGGGACGGCCACCACTGTGACCGTTATTCCCGTCTCCCTGTCACTCACTCGCTCGGGTCTTTTTCTGCAGGGTTTCATACAAGAGAGAAGTGGTGAGAGTCCTTTTTCTCGCTTCTAAATTTAGATTGGCAGAAAAATATTTATGAAGCTAATTCTTGGGCCTCTTGACTTTTGGGTTTTCTTTATTGATCTTTTTCTACAGAGATGGTCTTTTTTTTTCCTCCCCTGTGTCAATGCCTTTTACGTTGTTTGTGATAAGAAGGAGGTTCTACAGGAAGAGGACACAGGCAGAGACGCCTGTAAGCCTGTTGTTCGAGCCGGCCTCCTAGACTGGGGAGTTAAGTGGTTCTCCCTAGACTAATGCCTTTCAGGCAAGCTTTGCTGTGAGTCCCTATAAAAACTGGATGAGGTGGGGTGTTTTTTTTCATCTTGTTCTATATTGTAAGACCTGGGCTTAGTGACCAGTGAAAATATTTTCTGCACCATCTGGAAGGTGCACTTACGGGTGCACCTGGTGGCCAGTGGAATACAGCGGGGCTCCAAGTGCCTCTTTGTCCAGCTGTGCCATCTCTTGGGGGAGTTTTTCATAAGGGATCCCAGGCCATTAGGGGCCTGTGTTGTCTAAACCACTGTTAGTTGCAAGTGCTGGAAAAATCTCATTCTAGGAGCGCCTGCCCGGTGCCACAAGTTAGCAGGTTTGTGGCTGGAGACCCGAGACACTGCACCCACAACGACACTATCCTTGTAGCCTAGGTAACGAAGGTCTGTGCTTTCTCTGATTTTCTTTGGGAGTAAATTCTTAGATCACAGGGACTACACTATGAGCCCACTCCAGGGACACCTTTAATGTACATGGTAATAATTTACTCTAAGCCTGAGAAGGTAACCTCAGGTCTTTCCATTAAAAGGCTTATTGGAATGAGTGGATATTGGAATAAATATACTGATGAGGATCCTACCTGTCAATGACCAGAAGGCAGATTTTTGAATTAGAGAAACGTCTTTTTAAGATTTTATTTTTATTTATTTTTAGAGAGAGGGGAAGAGGAGCAGAAAGGGAGAGAAACATCAATTGATTGCTTCTTGCAGATCCCCAATTGGGAACCTGGCCTGCAACCCAAGTATGCACCCTGACTGGGAATCGAACTGGCAACCTTTTGTAGGAGGGTGCAGCCAGAGGGTCCCCAAAAGAAGGATTTGTAATGGGGTTCAGAACTCAAGGTGTCCAGGAAATATTAGACAGATATATAGGATGTCCTCACCCTCCACCACAGGTGTGAGTTGGGGAAGGGACACATGGAGCAGGGCCATTCAGAGCTAATTTGCATAGCAACTAACCTTTGCCCCTAAACTCTGGTGTGGTTATTTAACATGTCTATAACCTTTAACTGGTTGCATAGATATGTTAAATAGCTGTAGCCATGCTCTGAGCCTGGGGGATGGAAGGAACTTCCCCATCCAGACATAACTAGGGGGCAGGTCCCCCCTAGTTACAGCGCCTGCGTGAGAGCTTGGAGCTGATTGGCTCCACGACCTGGGGCCACCCCTGCGCAGACTCATGGTGGATCCCAGTAAAGCTGGACTGATATTTAAACCCAGACTTGGCGGCCATTGAAGAGAGAACCATGCGGTTTTGGTTGAGTGGAGACTCCTGTAGCCATGTGAGGAGAGGGACCATGCAGCTGTAAAAGTGAGGAGAACCACATGCTTTGGCCAGAGAGGGGGGGACACTCCCCCCCCCAACGTACCCATGAGAAGAATCACCATGCAGCTTTAGCAGAGAACCACCACGCGGCTTTAGCTGAAGATCCCGGCAACATGGCCGATGATGCTGGGAACCCAGGGAGGTCTATCAGCTGAGCATGGATTATTCGGAAGAACTGGGGGCTGCCTGAGCTAGGACTTCTATTTCTTTCCCTGAGATACGGTACCCCAGACTGGGCAAAGGGGGGAAGGAAGGACTGTGTGTGTGTTTGTGGGTGTTTTAAGGGACTTTGACAAAGACATTAAGTCATTACTCTTAAATCTGTATAACTTGAATAAATAATTCCTTTCCTTTTCACCAATCCCTAACATGGAGAGCTATAATTCTCTGGCAATGGGAAAGGTGAACCTAGTACAGGGGAACCCCAGGAGAAATGGGGGTCAATTTGGTAGCATTGTGGGACCCTCTTCCCTGGTGGCCAATCGGGGAGGATCATGGGAAACCACATGTGCAGTAGCTTTAAAGTAATGCAACTATTTGTACATACTCAGTAAAAGCCCACCAAAACTAGCCAGGAAGGATCTGCCCTATAAGCATAAAGTCCCTCCAGCCCATGAAGTCAATCTCTGCTTGGAGTTGGTCTGCTCCCATGTTCTCTTCTATGAACTCTGGGTGTTCGGTTCAATTCTTTGTCCCGATCACTAAGAACCTGGTTACCTGTGCCCACCTGTGACACCAGCATCTCTAGTCATGCATCACACTGGATTCAATCGTTGCACTTTCTGGTTCAGGTTGAAATCCCGGATCACAATTTAAGTCATCTGTTCTGTTTGGGTACCGTCTGTTTGGAGCTCCGTTGAGCTCTATCTGGTAATATGCGGGGGGAACCCTCTATTCTGAAAAACAGCCTGCTGGGTGGGTTCTGGTAAATTGATCGACGTATCAGCATATATCAAAAGTGTATGTTGTTTTATTGTAGTACTGTTCTGTTTGTGTCCTGTATAATTTAGACTCAGGAGAGCGCTGGTCA